TCATTTTTTTTAAATGAAATAAAATTAAAGACTGTTAATGAAATAAAGAGGTAAGATACAAAATACCGTTGTTGGACCCTCCCTGGTGGTGCAGTTAAAGTGCAATACTGCAGGTGAGCCACCGCCACTTCACTGTGAGTTCGAGCCCCGCCCCGAGGTGACCCACAGGGCGCAGCAGACCTCTCCTGACCCGCCTGCTGCCCCCCTCAGCAGTGTGCTTCATCCATATGCCTGTGCTGCTCCCCATTATCTCAGGTAAATACTCTGACCACCACCCCTGCATCTCTGACCTGTACCCCAGTTCTGTATGCATAAATAAATAAATCTTTAACCAATATATCAGTATCAAGGATGAAAGAGATTATATTACTACAGACCTTAGGTACTGAAAGAGGAAGCAGATACAATGACCATTTCTCTATTATTAAATTTCACAATTTAGATAAAAAGGGGTTAGCGTGCAGTGTTGGTCTGTAGTTCACCCGGAGACCAACCAGGCCAAAGACAGAAAAAGTGCCTTTCAATGTAGCGGCAAGAAGATACTGTGGACATGGACAGACCCCCATTCAGTGGCACTCAGTGGGATTCTGGGAGGGATTTCTGAAAGGGACACTAAGACTGTGGCCCTTGCTCAGTGGCCTACAGTCACAGCTAAGGCTCCTTAGTTCAGGCCGTTCTAACCTCTTCTTGCTCTAAAAGAATTAGGGGTAATGAGGATTTTACACTATAACTTCCCAGTCCACCTTACTTCTTCAGCTCTACCCCTTGGTAAATATTCCCTTTAATAAAAATTCCTACCTCACTCTACTGAAGTAGACCCCCCCCTTTTTTTTTTTAATTACAAGGGAAACTATAACAGGCTCAATCTTACCATCTTTATTTTTTGTTATCCAGGGGTATATTTTATAAAAAAAAAATATCTTAGGTATCTCAAAACTGTTATGTATAAATATGGGACATTAATCTACATTACTCATGCATATGCAGGAATTGCATACATATTTTCATAAATATTTTCAAGTTATATATTTTCACAATACAATTTCCCAAGGAACTGTTCATAGCAAGACATATACAAACAATTTATGAAACTATTAATCATTTAAAACTGAAAATGTGGTAGGCATGATGCTAGGTATTTAGAATTATACAAAGAGAAGATTCGATGAGCTGTCTAAGTGAGAATTTTAACTTTAGCAGTAGTTTCTTGGTGATTCTATAAGATAATCTGATGTATAATGGCCATCCTTAAATCCTATTTTAGATTTTGCTTCTTTTAGAATTGTTGTAAGAGCTGTTTACAGGCCATATAAAAATTCATTGCATTTCTCAAAATTGAGTGTTTAAATGGCTAAGCTATTGCCAAGCACATGAATATCCATGTTTTCACCAGATGTAATTTTAAATTACATTTGGCTCTTTCCAAGTAGCTAAAGGATCCTCAAAAAAAAAAAAAAAAAAAAAGAAAAAAGAAAAAAAAAGTTGTTACCAATGATAATATATTTAAAATGTGCCCTAGTTTTGTTTAAAAAGGCATA